AATTTGAAAAAGTTTTAAGAACGTCGGTTGAGGCTACTCCGCTATAATAGGTCGTGGCTTATGTGCAATATCTCTTATAAGATTCTTAGCTGATGCCTATATAAGAATAAGAATCGACGCCTAGGATAAGCGCACGAGTTATGTTTTTCATACAGAACGAAGAAGTTATAAACCATTGAATCGGAATTTCTTTTTGAAATATGGTTACAATATCTGACTTTATCGCCGTTCATCAATTTTTAGATTTTTCAGATGAAGCAGATGTGTCAACAAACGAAGAACATTATAGCTTACCGTACTGGTGAAGATCCAGTTGCCGCTGGCATCAAGGAGTATATTATAGCTATATGTTAAATAGTATCGACCTGACTGTTTGCTATGACTAATAGGAGCCGACTAAATAAATACGAACTTCAGTTATCCCGTAGTAAACAAACAAATAACTGATTTCTGTAGACCAAAATGATGCATGCATATATTACTTTATCAGCTCCCGGCTTTTTCTGCTCGGTTAAGCAGTCAAAAGAAAAGCCAACACTTCGACGGCAGGTAAAAGTGAGGAACCAATAGTCTTCCTAAATTACAGAGCAAAATAATTTCGGAGGAAGTAACTGTGCATGGGCAAGAAAATATTCAGACCGAGCACCGATAACTTATGTATAATACAAAATAAGAACGCATTTAGAAAAAATCAAAAGCACGCAAGACGATTATCGACAGTGTTATGAAATATCTGTGTCCTATGGAAAATATACAGGATTAAGCTGTGTTTGTACAGATAAATTACATACATACAGCTTTTGAAAACAAAAAAAGAAAGACACAGACAAGGAGGAGATGATGACGGTGGCAACACAACAAACCAGAGTTACCGTCATGCATCATCTGTTTTTATGAGAGTCTCAGTAGTATGAATCTAGTTAGTTTAACAGTAAACAAAAAGTACACATAAGACATTGTAAAGCGTTGTCGTTCTTGGTGAGTTTTGTCAAGTTCCCAACTAGTGTCTCATGGAACAAAATAACTTTGAAAGAGTGTAGCACAAAAGAGATTGATTCATATTTTAGCCAAACAAGTTTACTTCTCTCTTTCATAAATGATATGCATTATTCAACTTGAAAGCAACATCATCTCTCGATAACTTCTATCATTCTGAGATATCAAAGACTTGCAAGAAATGGATCGGTATATTTCATATTTCTTTCAGACAAATGTGCTTTTATATGCTTTTAAATATCCTCGGATATGTTTTCTTCAGACAAGATTTCTTTCCTTTCTGATCGTAAATCTTCTATAGATGACAATTTACTGCCGCACACGATCACGTGAACGAATTTTTTTCATCGTATTTCTTTTTTGCTGTGTCAGAAATGAACGAGAAATATGAGGCATGTGCAGAAAGGGAAAGCAAAGAAGATATCCCTTATTTGATACGGTTCTACTGTAAAGCCTTGTCGTTCCTGGTGAGCTTTGAAGAAATAAAAGTTGAAAGTTACAAACCATAATGAAAGCTGAAAAAAATTAATTCTGTCGTACTTCAATGTATTATAGTCCAAGTTTTGGCGGATTTAGCCTAACTTGTAGAACGTCTGCTGACGACATTCCCTAACACAGAGCCCTGAAGCTGGTATCAAATGAAAGAGCGCGTCCATTACATCTGGCCACGTTTCTACCATCACGGACGGCCGAGTTACAGGCTGTTTAACACTACGAATATAAACTCATTCGCTTTAATCACGAATTTTCACCCTGTGACGTATTCTCTATGGCATTTGGACACAACATTCTAGAAACGTGGCCAACATCTCATTTTGTGGAGATCTGAAGGGGCAGAACTTTAGAATGATTGAGAGTGAGAAACATAATATAACGAAACTTTGTGGGTCTGCGTTTTGTCCTTCTTGTCCGTTTGGTCCTTCTTCTCCTTGGTGTCCTTCTTGTCGTTTTTGTCCTTTTGGTCCTTCTCCTTATTATCCTTCACATAATTTACATACATACAGCTTTTGAAAACAAGAAAAGAAAGACAAAGAGGAGGATGATGACGGTGACAACACAACAAACCAGACTTCGCGTCATGCATTATCTACTTGTACTCTTTTATGCAGTACCTCAGTAGTTTGAATCTAGTTACTTTAACAGTAAACAAAAGTAGACGTAACACATTGTAAAGCGTTGTCGTTCTTGCTGAGCTTTGAAGAAAAAAAAGTTGACAGTTACAAACCATAATGGGACGTGAAAAAAATTAATTCTGTCGTACTTCAATGTATTATAGTCCCAGTTTTGGCGGATTTAGCCTAACTTGTACAACGTCTGCTGACCACATTCTCTAACGCAGAACCTTGAAGCTGGTATCAAATGGAAGAGCACCTCCATTTCTACACATTTCGATGAAGAAACGTTATGCCAGCCCTCGGGGTCTTAGACAGAGAGTTCGGAAAGCTCGGTTTTTCCTAGAAAACCTAGTAATCTTAAAATTTCATTCAGAAGCTTTCCAACCATATCATTGAACAGTCCCTTCAGTTCTTCACAAAATGAGATGTTGGCCACGTTTCTACCATCACGGACGACCGAGTTACAGGGTGTTTAACATTACGAATATAAACTCATTCGCTTTAATCACGAATCACGCATTCGCTTTAATCACGAATCACGCATTCGCTTTAATCACGAAGTCCAAAATTCGAAAAAGTCTCATTAACTTCCCAGGACGATGAAAATGACCTTAAATATGATCATATATGATCTGTATATGAAGCATTTATTGTTCATTTATGATCTATTTCAAGATCATTTATAAGCCCAGTTATTGTCTCATTTTTTAACTCTTCTAAGACCATTTTTCAATGAGCTAAATATGATCTTAAAATGACTATCAAATTATGATTATATTTAGGTCATTTATAGCACATTTATGAGTCATTTTAGCACCATTTTGCTAACCGATTGTTTCGGAGGATCATATTTACATCATTTTTAGACCATTATAGTTCATAAATGAGCCATTTATGCGTCATATGAATGATCTAATGATGACCGTAAAATAGTTCAAAAAAGCGAGCCGCTTTTGGACCATTTTAAGGTCATATTCAGATCATTCGAATGATCTATAAATATTTATTTATCGCTGATCTATAATACAAAAATGCGGTAATTTCGTCCTTCTGGTTTCATTCGAGTATAACGTTTCTCATTCCAAAGCAAATGAATGAGCTAGGAATGAGTCAGCCCTCAGCCGAAATATTCATAAACAACGTATGATAAAAATTTATATTTCAGTCCCTTTTCCTTCGAGGTTCTGCAAACTTTTTCCTGCTTTTTCATGAATTCGACAGAAAGACTGCAGAAATGTGTAGATAATCGAAAGGAAGAGGTCATAAAATAGAAACCGTCAGAGTACGTAGTCAATGGATATCTTACGAAATCAAGCACCAGTGAGACTCTCAAGGCTGGTTTTTCGCTGCATTCCTCATTGTCAGACACAATAATTACAGCCGTTTTGTTTTGTTTTCGTTCAACTTGAGTTAGCCAAAGTTTGGAAGAAATATAGAAAGACCGGCTGTTAGACGTCTGTATTCGGCTTTATATTTCGACAAAGTAAAACGGTCTATTCTTTCGGAGCATTTTGCTGGAACGAAAAACGCTTCTTATGATCTAAAGAAACTGAAATAGTTTCCTTTCGTTTACCGAACCTGAAACTATGTCTGCGATCTGATGCACACCCACCTTCCAAGTCACTGTAAAGTGCTTGCTGCTGCTCTACGAACAGTGAAAAATCTTGTAAAATCATAGTTAAGTAGACTGAAAGTAGAAAGACTTATCCTCTTTTTGAGAACGCTGAGTGTCCTCTCGTGCATTTCGACAAGACAAAGTTACACCGTCGAATAAACAACATACAAACAAGTAACATTTCGTTATTATTTATTATTTATTATATTATTGGAACGAGAAAAAAGATTAGTGAGTGCACATTTAAAAAAAATAGGAGAAGACAACAACAATCAAAGCAAAGAACTATTGTTTGCTTTGAACTATTGTCTAAAGAATTTTAGTCAGAAATAACCGCACTCACGGTCGGGCGATTTCGAACTTCTTGTGATTCAACAAATCATGTAATTTAGCAACGAACAAAACAAAAACAACTACGGTTTATTTTATTTTTTTGAAATGGAAAAGTCTTTGTTGTAACACATAGAAAGAAAGTTTTCAGGCAAAAGAATAACACACATAGAAAGGTACTTATAAAATTTTTTGGGCGGTTTGAAAGAATAAAGTCAAAATATTTTTACGATAGTGTTATCTCGCCAAAGATGAAAAGAATTCGCTAATTAAGTAGACAGACCTATGCAGAAATCCTTATACTTTTCTAGTTGGTGTCTACTGGCGACATCAAGTCTTTTGCCAAACTCTAATTCAACTTGGTTAGAACGAAGAAACGGAATAATACACGACATTTGCGTTATCAGATACTAACGAGTTGATTCCGGTACTCATTTTTGCGGTGCACACTCAATAGTCAAAAATGGTACTCAGGAGCCAATCAGACTTATTTATAAACGGATGACGTGTATTGTAGCAGGTTAATACATGATGATAAATCAAAATTCTGTGAAAGAAAAGAAAACGAATAGAAAGCAAGAATGTTTATTTATTATCAAATTTATGTCACGGCTGAGTTACTGTTAATTAAAAAAACTGATGCGTTACTTATCTGATCTTGCGCATTGTAAAAATTTAGTCGTTCAGATTATTTTGAGCGACTGTCTGTTTCTTTTTAGAATATATCATCATAAGTGCGTGTGTGTCTCCCTATGTGTGTTAACCGATACTGTGCTAAATTGTTGTAATTAATAGAATCAACAACAATAGCACAGTTTAGAAAAATTAGTGTCTTTAATTCTTTGTATAAATCTATCTGGTATTATCATCACTGTGAATGAACGCTGTTGATTTTTTTATTTCTGGTCGTTATTATTGTTTACGATATTTTAACTCTTATTTTGATGTTGAGACCAGAGCAAGGAACATTTCATGTTGACGATGATAATTCGACAGACTATAAACGAGAAGAAGAAAATATTTCAGCATCCTCATTCGACACACTCGTTCATTACTCGAGTGAATTTAAAATAAATAACGATAAACAACAGAATATGGCAACTATACCACTTAAACAATCGTCATCAATTCAAGATTTACCTCTAATTAGCAATAATTATCAACAAGAAAATGAAGATTTAACTCAAGAAACAAGTAAGTTTGATTCCTTTTCTACTTACCATGAAATAGCTTCACTATAGGAGTGAGTGTTTTTTCGACATCATTGAGTTGACAATAACAATTTTGATGAATGATCTGTTTTTTTTATAGACACTACATCACCTTCGACGGGCAACTTTGATCTGTCTTCTATCAAGGTTTGTATTAAACATATCTTTCTCTCTATGACGTTAACTAAACTTAAGTATTTTTAAGATTGCGAATGATAGTCTACCGTCTGTGGTTAATCATCAAAGGGAACAGGAGGAACAAGAGCATCTGCAGTTACCACTAATTCAATCGGCATCATTAGAAGATATACAAAAAGAAGTGGATCGTGTTCGACAGATGAAAGTATGTATTGTTTTCTTTATCTATTTTTGCTTGCTCTAAAATTTGTCTGAAATATTTCATCGTAATTTGTTCTGGCTTATTTATTTTAGTACAGTCTTTTATTTCCGTCACTACCTCAGGATAATCATCATTCATCCTCGTCTCCATCTTCTCCTGTTACATTTAATACATTTTCATCTACCATACACAATATCAATCCTTCCTCATTAACTGAAAAGCTTCATTTTCCTGATTTTTATTCTAATCAACAATTATCAACTCTTCCATTTTCTTCTACATCTGTTACAAATATCCTTGAATCCGATACAACGCATTTTATACCAATTAAACAGACATTTGATAATACAAATCGTAAATCTTCATCATCTTTGTCTCTTACTGAAGATTCTAAAATGTTTGATAGTCTCCTACTATCATCAAAACCGGTTTTGAAATTACCTGGTATGGCTGTTCGAACAGTGCAACCATTAAGATTAAAAAAATATATTTCAAGTTCAGAATCCGATTTGAGACAATATGATTCTCAAATGAATAATTTTGCCGGTGATTCACAATCCGATAAAGGCCCAAATTTTAGTCCTGGATGGGACGATGATTTATTATTTGCAGAATGGGACAAAGAGAGAAATTTATTTCAAGATTATATCAAGTAAGTATTATGCTACTATCAGAAATAAGAAATAATATCCAAAAAGAGTCAACTTTAAAATCTAAAAATGATATACTTTATAAATCTCGTTAAAATAATTCTGTTTTCTTTTTATAGCTCGTTACGTATAGAAATTCGCGTATTATTACAAGAACGTAGTGAATATCAAGCAAATATTCGTCAATTACAAGAAAATCTAGCGGATCGTAAAAAACTAATATCTCATACTATTCAACATACCCAAGTTGAAGTTCAACAATTATCTGAAATTAAATCACTTGAATCAAAATTGTTATTATTACAAAAATCTCTTGGGGAAAAAAATAATGTTTTAGAATTATTACAAACTGAATATGAAATGTTAAAAGAGAAAAATGTTCAATTACAACGAAAAATATCACATTATAAATCGGATATGAAATCACAAGTTGGAGTTATTGATGAATTGAAACAAAAAATAACAGAATTATGTGTAGATTTACAAAATTTAATTATGATTAGGAAAAGACATGAATTGAGTATAGAACAATTAGAACAAGAAATTAAACAAGTGGATAATGAAAAACAATCATTAACACATCATGTTTCAATTATAACGAATGAAAAACAAGATTTAGAAAAGAAATTACAACAAGCAAAAGTGCACATCGCCGAACAAGGTAAGTAAAATAGGATTAATGAGATGGACGAAATATTTTAAGCTGAAAGAAATTATATTTTGTACGTATAGAATTATTTTAAAAGCAATGTTAAACATTTAAAGATGCTGTTAAAATAATTCTGTGTATTTTAAAATTGTTACCCGCATCAAAATCTAATTATGTCTCGTATGGCTTTTACTAATAATCTGTATGAATGTTTTTTTGACATTAACATTGTGTTTCTTAGGTGTACATTATTTTAGGTACTCAGTTAGAAATGTTACGTTCTGAAAATATACAAATACGTTCACAATTAAGTGAAAATCAACGCCGTCAATTACAAGAAAAACAGCAAATAATGGATTATTTAAGACAAATTGAAATTGATTTAATTGAACGTGAACAAATAAAAGCTCGAGAAATTTCATTAAAACAAGAATTAAAACAAATAAATGAACTAAGAAATCAAGATCTTGTACAATTAAAGCAATTACAAGAGCAAATTCAAAAAGATAAATTAATATTAGAGAAAGTTGAACATGAAAATGTGCAATTATTAGATACGATTAAACAATTTAATGATAACAGGTTAGATAGTAAGATTAAATAATTTCAGTACTTTTTGATAGAATTTTCAATCTTTCGTCAAAAATAGAAGTAAAAATTCTAAAATTTTTAGAACGTGTATCAGTAGCTGCGGGGATGACGATGCTCAAACTTCATGAATAGCCGCTGTTTTTTTTTTTACTTTACCTCAAATGAGTCTAATTCTAATGAGAGTTTTATTAATTTATATTCGTTTTTTGTTATCGGTATTAAAATACTGTTTCATATCTGATCAACCGTCACTTCTAAGCGATTTCGATTAACTTTTATACGATACAATCTACATGTATAAGATGTAGTTGATGGTTGAGATTTTAGCCATAATTTATATTTGAATCCACTTGAATCTATTCTCTTTTCACTGTTTATATTCTGTTTTGATAGTAGTGTGGAATAGTGGATCATCGTACGCTTCAGAGACATAGATCGAGTAGTAGATAAATTTATCAGAATATGATTTATAAGAAGTCGCTGAAAACATCGAGAAAAGTGATTTCTTCTCTTCAAAAAATTGTTTAGACTTTTACGTGAAAATCATGAGAGAAAATTATTTTTTTTAAGATCTCATCCGTGCAAAAATGGTGATTGATCAAAATTTCTTCCTTCTAATCTACTTTTATTGTGTTTATATACCAAACCTTTATGATTATGTTTTTTTTTTATTTTTGTAGTTATTCTACTTCATCAGATCAATATGATTCAAATAGTGAAATCACTTCATTAAAATTAAAACTCATTGATTTACAAAGATCTTGTTCATCGCTAACAGAACAAAATTTACAATTAGTTGCCGAAATAAATTTATCTAAAACAGAATTAAAACATTTTGTTGATGATCTAAAATCATCATCATCTATTGATGACAAAATTCTTCTTCCATCTGATCCACTCTTATCTGATATTTATCATTTAATTCAACATCGTGATAAAAATGAAAAAGAACACACATCTATTATAGAACAATTACAAAATGAATTATTAATATCAAATAATCTTTTACAAATAAATCAAGAACAGTTTGAAATGTCAACACAAGAACAAAATCAACTCATTGTACAACATCAAGCCACTATTCATGAATTACAACAAAAATTAGTGAATATGGTAGAACAGAATGATAAAGATTTTCAACGATTTTTGACACAGTTTAATCTACAACCGTCCATTGCATCATCACTGAGTAATCCTATGGATGAAATTATATCGATCTATGACTGGACATTAGCACAAAACCGACAATTACAACAAATTATTAATGAAAAAACAAATCAAATTGAACAGATGAATAAAAATAATCAACACCAAGAGGTAAAGAAAAAAACACACTTTCAAATGAAGTGTGTGTGTGTGTGTGTGTGTTTGTTGTATTTAAATACCTTTATTTTCGTTCATCGATAAAATTGTGTTTTCTCTTTGATATTTTTTGCAAAAATTCTCAAGAAAAGGGGAAACATTGAAAAAATTTAAAATTTGTTTGCCTTTTTAGTTGATCTTACCAGCACCACGTGTTCAGCAGCAACAATTGCAACAATCTTCCGATTCTTCTTCCACAAATTATCGAATTGAACAACTCGAGAATGAACTATTAAATATAAATAATTTTCTTCAAACCGAACGTCTACGCTATGAATCTGAACTATTAAATGTACAAAATTTATTTCAAAATGAACATTTACATTGTGAACAACTTCAATCAACCATAAATAAACAAAATCAACTATTAGTGCAATATGAATCGACAATTGAAAATTTACAACAAAAATTAAATGGAAATGAACAACAAAATGAATTAGATTTTGAAAAATTTTTAATACATTTTGGTTTACCATATTCTCAAGAGAAAACATCAAAAAGTCGTATTGATGATATGATTTCAATTTACGAATGGCAAAATCGACAAACAATTGATAAATATGAACAAGAATTAAATGAGAAACAAAATTTGATTGATAAATTGCACGAAACAGTTGATGAAAAAACAAAACAGATAGAGAAAATGAATAAAAATAGTCAACAACAGGAGGTAATGTTGTTAAAACTGACTCTCATAAGAGAAAGAAAAAATTGGTCACCTTCAACAAATGTTTACAATTTGATATATTGAAATAAATATCAAGGAGTTGAACATTTTTTGACTGTGAAAGAAAAAATGTATTGTTCACTTTTTGTAGTCAGTTTTCAAAATTTCGTTTGGAGTCTAAAAGACAGAGAATTTAATTCTTTACAAAAATGATGTATTTATTTTTTACGATTCGATCGAAATTAACAGAATGTTAAAGGAAATATCAAACCCATGGACAGTTTTGATTCCACCCATAAAATTACCGGCTTTTGTCTATACTTTTCTCTGTTTGGTAAAACAAAATATAGAAAAACATGCTCCGTATTTCTCTCCATCTGTTGCCTATTAAACGAAGTGTATTGAGCAAAATATTCTTGCCAAAAGAATCCATTCGTTTTTGTACCTCTCTTTAAAGGCACTTAGATCTCTTTATGTTTTTTGATAGATAAACGTATTAATTAACTTAAGAATTATTTGACTGAAATTCTACATCTTTTGTCAAAACAAATACACCACTTTGTAAAGAATTAAATCCTCTATTATTTCAATACAAAAGTGAACAGTTTTCTATGAAACACGCGTTAGTTTGTAATGTTTCATATCTTTTTTGATTATATAAAAAATGTTCAGTGTGTTTTATTTCTTCTTATTCTGTTAGTTTGTATCACCATCTCCTTCACATATTCATTCTGTGACTCTTCAACAACAATCTCCGAATCTTTCTGCTATTCTTGAAACAACCAAGCAAGATGAATATTTGCAAGATGAGTTGTTGGATATAAAAAATCAGTTAGAAACTCAACTCATACGTAGTGAAGAATTACAAACTGAATTGTTCAATGTACAACATCTTCTTAGTTGTGAACATTTACGTTCAGAACAATTTCAAGTTTCATACAATGAACAATATCAACAAAATCTTCAATGTAAATTAGTAAATCAAGAACTTGAACAAAAATTATTTGAAACAGAAACAATTTTAAAACATTTAAAAGAGGAGAATGATAAAGCTTTTCTTAGATTTTTGTCACATTTTGATTTACAATCGTTTGCATCATCATCATCACTAGAGAAAAACAATCATATTGATGAAATAATATCGATCTATGAGTGGCAAAATCGACGAATGATTGATACATATGAACAGCAACTGAATGAAAAACAAAATATAAATGATAAATTAGAACAATTAGTGGATGAAAAAACAAATCAGATTGAGCAAATTAATAGAAATATTCAACAACAAGAGGTAAGAAGATAATTATTTGAAAACTCTAGGTGTGTGAGAATTTGTCGACTGTAACGGACAAACTGCTGTTTCAATTTGAATTCAATCAAGGCATACTTAGAAACTTATTAAAAAAACGTACTATTCCGATAGGGAAATAAGACATTTGCTTTTTCTTAATAATAGTTTATTATTTATAGTTACTGATCCTATATTGTCTATTTTTAACCTTTTAAAAATTTTTTGCTTATATTAAACAATTGAGAAAAATCTTTACTTCTTTTTTACAAGAATAATAAGTCTTTTTCTCTCTTTAGTTGATAATGTCATCTCCAAATGTACACAGCGTATCCATTCAACAAAAATCTCCTTCGCATCTTGAACAAATTCAGAATGAATTATCCATTACAACAAACCTTTTAGAATCCGAACGTGCTCAGTACCATAACCAACTAATAAATGTCCAGAATTTGCTACAAACTGAACATTCTCGCTCCGCTCATCAAGATTTAGTTATTCAAGATTTGGAAAAAAAGTTATTCGAATCAAGAACAAATCTGAATCAATTAAATGAAAAAAATGAGAAAGATTTTCAACGATTTTTGACTCAGTTTAAACTACAACCGCCCATTGAATCGTCACTGAGTAATCCTATGGATGAAATTATATCGATCTACGACTGGACATTAGCACAAAACCGACAATTACAACAAATTATTAATGAAAAAACAAATCAAATTGAACAGATGAATAAAAATAATCAACACCAAGAGGTAAGAAACACGATGAACCGTTAAATGCGTTGTAGCTACTGTCGTTTCCGAAAAGCAAATGTCCCTGATTATTTTTTGAATAATTTGGGTAAAGGAAATTCAACATGTTAAAATAACCAAGTTCCAAATTGGAACCTCCCATAAGAAGACTCAAAGGTATTTTCTTCCAAGGTACCTCCTTTTCGAAGCTGTTATCATACAAATCAATCTCGTTGTAAAAATAGATTCTGTTTGTGAGACGAAATAAAAGGTTTTCGATGTGAAGAAATTTGCAAGAGGGCAGGGGAGATGGCTGAGTCTGAAGAGAACTGCAGGTAAAAAATATTCTAAAGACAGTCATGTCTCTATTGTTTCATCTCATACTCTTCGCTACATTACTCACCAATATTTATATACTCATTATCGTTTTCAAAAAGTAAATGTCCCTAATTATTTTTTGAATAATTTGGGAACGCAATGTGCTAGAGGTGTGCAGATATCACCATTCGATAGCTAGGACTTTATGTCATCCTTCCATAAGCAAAATCTATTTTCCAAAACTTTTCAAAAATCACTTTTCCAGATGATCTTTGGAAAACCAATTCGTCGAAAAAGAAAAACCAATCGATTCACCATTAAAAAGTTGGACACATAACCCTGTAGTAGTTAAAGATTTCCAGAAATCTTCTCAAAAGTCTAAGCAGGAAAATTTGCAATTTTTTTTATTTTCAAAACCAAAGGCTTTTAATTAATTCAAAACCAATGTGCTCGCGAAGTTTGAAGCGGTTTCAATCAAAAATAACGTCGCTGTTTGACGTGGTAATAGTCCCAAAACCGTATTTTTTGAAAAACTCATCAGCAAAAGTAATTTTACTTTTCACATTAAAATAAATATTAGCACGACGATCAGGAGCATCGATTATCTATGAACTATGTATTTCTGATATGACCAGACTACGAGAAACCGATCCTGATGGTCCCAGCAGTATCGTTATTCGGCGTGAACAGCGGGTTTCAGAAGCCTTCGCTTATATCCCATTTCGTAGAACATATTTTTGACTATCTATCGATGAAAAAAAATCAATAGATTACTGTAGTCATTTTCGGAAGACGAATTGGTTTTCCAAAGATCATCTGGAAAAATGATTTTTGAAAAGTTTTGGAAGATAGTTTTTGCTTATGGAAGGATGACATAAAGTCCTAGCTATCGAATGGTGATATCTGCACACCTCTAGCACATTGCGTTCCCAAATTATTCAAAAAATAATTAGGGACATTTACTTTTTGAAAACGATAATAAGTATATAAATATTGGTGAATAGTGTACCGAAGAGTATGAGGTGAAACAATAGAGACATGACTGTCTTTAGAATATTTTTTACCTGCAGTTCTCTTCAGACCTAGCCATCTCCCCTGCTCTCTTGCTCTCTTGCGAATTTCTTCACATCGAAAACCCTTTGTTTCGTCTCACAAACAGAATCTATTTTTACAACGAGATTGATTTGTATGATAAGAGCATCGAAGGGCACTATCATCTAATCAGTAGTTTGTGTAGATCAAAAATACGAGTCTTCTTATGAGAGGTTCCAATTTAGAACTCGGTTATTTTAATATGTTGAATCTTTCAGAAGAACAGTTCAGATAATAGTTTTCATTAATAATCTACTTTCTGATGGAACTTATACATGTTGTTATTTAGTTCCCGTTAATGTCTTCTCATCTTCACACTGTCTCGGTTCAACAACAGTCTCCTTCCATAGATTCTAATGATGAATTATTGAATGCAAAAAACTTAGTTGTAACCGAACGTGAACAGGTTCAAACCAATCTTCAAAATTTATTGGATGCCGAACGTTTACGTAGTGAACAGTTACATCAATCTTATAATACATTATCTAATAAATATCATGACTTAGAACAACACTTGAATAAACAAGAACTGAACGAATTAATCGATTTAAATCCACTTTTTACTACTATTCAATTTCCATTATTTGATCAACAGCCACCAGCATTAGAACGTCTACTGAATCAAAATAAACAACATAGACTTTCATCATCACTCGTTCAAGATATTCTCAGCGTATTCGAATGCTCATGTGAACAGTTACAAACGAGACTAGAAGAACTGAGTAGAGAAAATGAACAATTGAATAATACACTTGAACGACTCGATGAACAACATCAACAAGAGCATAAGGATTTAGAATTAAGTTTACAAGAAATGATTAATAATCATAAACAATTGAAGAATGAATTGGAAGAAAAACTGAAACAAATTCATCAACTAAAACAACAACTCCAGCAATCAACCGAAGTAAGTAAAGGCAGAAAGTAATGAGACGTTAGCATCTGTGCCATTTGAACATTTCTCGCAGCGTTGATCATAAAAGAGAGCAAAGTCATGAATACAGACGGTCTGAAGTATTTTAGAAAAGATACCGTCTGCTACATGGTGAAAAAAATGATATCATTTTTCTTTCGCTTTAGATTACTCCAACTCAATTATCTACTCAACAACAAACGACTCCATCCCATCTAATTGAAGAAATTGAAAGTCTTCAAAAGTTTTTGGAAATTGAACGTCAACGATCTCATGATTATGAACAATCTAAAAATGAGAATCAAATAATTGTCGATCAACTTCGTTTAGAATTAGATCGTCGTCAAGTTGAATTAGATTCATGTGAAACAAAATCTAAACGTGAACAACAAAAACAAAATATTGTCATTGAACAATTAAGAGAACAAATTGAAACTGATCGAAAACAAAAGCGTACAATATCTCCAACAATAGTAACAGAGGATATCATGAACACATTATCATCTATACCTCAAAGTGATTTAGAATTAAATTTACGTGAACAACGTTTATTATCAGCAGATTTACAAATACAATTAATTGAGAAACAAACATTTATTGAACATATGAAGGAAGAATTAACAAAAGCTGAACAGCTTGTAAAACAAATTGAAATATGGGGAAATAAAGGTAAACAAATGAAATTTGTTGTTTTGAAGTTTTTCGCGAGAGTCTTCACTACCTAACCTCTTTTCAGTGACCATCGATTAGTGTACATGCCACAGTAGGCACTTTTGGCTAGGACAAGTGGACATAAGAGTTTTTTAGGATAAACCTTTTTTTCATCTCTATTATTGCTACTCATAAGTCTAACGAACGGTTAAATGCGAAAAAAGTGATTTTCAAAAAACCAGTTTTTTTTGAAAAATCACCATCGGTGAAAATTTCGAAGAAAAATTTTTCTCCATAAAATAATAGTGCCATACATCATTCAATACAGTTCAATGCAGTTTGGCGATTCTAAATATCGCCTTGATTTTCAATAAAAATGCTCCTGAGCGGAAAAAATTAAGCTTTACGAATGAAACCTGGGAAAATCAAGGGTTTTTAGAAAATCGACAACTTCCTACAGGAAAATATGCGCATTTTTGCGCATGCATAGTAGATACAGGAATTCAAGACAAACATTTTGGTATAAAAATAAGTTAGTTCGGACTTTAGCTTAATTTAGCGATGTGATTATACTGTTAACCTCCGTTTTTCTAGCGTTTTCCTTATTTTAGCGATTTTTTCTCTATCGAATATTTCCATAAGGAACAGGGTTTCGGATTGTTCTTAGGGATGGGAGGAGCTAAAAATTTTGCTTCGCAGAAAGTGGCTGGCAAAAAAAAGTTTTCAAAATTTTTGGCAGAAAGTTGCTGATGGAAAAACGTCAAAAATTTTGCCAGAAAGTCCAAAAAAGTTGTCAGGGAGACCAGCTCCAAGGAAAAATCGTACAACAAAAAAATTTTTGCCATTCGATAGAGAAGTTAACGAAGTTTATTTGATACTATTCAAATAACAGAAAAGCTTAGTTTCGAGTTTTTCACCAAATGTTCGTCTGTATGCCCGCTGTGATGGTTCTCACGTAGTGTCTCGTTGGCTACTTGTTACGAGGAAAAAAAAGACTCGTATAATGATATACTTCGTTGTTTGTTTAGAGAGTACCATTGATGATACGTCTGCTATTGAGAAAATTGATGAATTTTTACAAGCCTGTTCTACGAAGTTGTCTTGTTCAAAAAATTTCGATTCAATATTGAAATCACTGGAATCTTACGATCAATTTTTACATGACTGTTGTATAAAATTAAATCTAGACGATACAACTAGTCGTGAAATGATTTTAGATAAATTAGATACTCATAAACAAATATTTAAATCTGTTGGTTTGAAAGAAAATAATTTTGATATATGGAAACAATCGTACGATGAAAAAATTCAATATAAACGAAAAACAAAAGAATTTTTAAGAAAATGTCAACAAAAATTAGCTACATTATCAACATTTGAACATATATTAGATTATATTGATAAATCTAAACAATTACAACTCGATTTTGACGAGAAAGAAGGCATAATTCATCAACTTCAAATTGATAATTCTCAATTATTAACGTTTCAAACATTGATAAATGAAAAATTTGGTACACACGATAATTTATTACAAATTGTTGCTCAAAATGAGTTATATAAGAATTATATTGATCGAATACAAACTGTTCAATTCGATTCTATAGAACAATTGAAACTATTTGACTGTTTTCTAGAGTCAGATGCGACAATTGATCTTATACTTCAACAATGGCATTATCTATGTTCGACATTAAAACAATCGGAAAATAAATTAGTCGATTTAAATCAATTTCTCAATAAAAAATGGCAACAAAATATTCCAATTGACGAGATGAAGGAAAATTTAGATAATTTTATAGGTAAAAAAGAGATTGGAGTAAATCGATTTGTGAATAAGAAACATCTTGTCTATGACTCACATTAAACGAGGTGATACTTTGAGTTTACGGTTGCTAAGAGTTTTACATGTCAAAGCTATACGGCCATGTAACTATGTAAAAAAGCTTGAAATCGAGAGATGTATAGAAAATCATTGAGAAGTAAATTAATAAGTTTCAAGTCGTAAAGAAAAAACCGTAAGATGAAATACGTGAATATCAGAATTATGGAGAATATTTGAACAGAACGATTATTCTGTTTGAACAGAATAATCGTAAGGAAAAACGTAAAAATTGTAGTGTGTAGAAGAAAATACAAGAGAAAACTGCGTGAAAATAGAAGTCATTCATCACTTTTTGTTGTCCGCATAATTCATATATAAACAGCACCGATTTCAACACAAATTTAAAAACTTTTCGCTTCCATTTTTGCCTTGTTTCATTCCTCTGTCAATAATTTTTATCACCCATCAAAACTCATCTATTTTCCTTTAGAACTGTTTAAACATAATGGAGAAATTGTACGTTGCCCCACAACATGTTTCGGAGAAAAGTGGAGAAACTTCGTTTTTTTGTTTTTGCAGACTTAACAGTTTTTGACTGAATCGAGTAAAACTGGTATAAGGAGGAAAAAATTTGACTTTTCTTTTCGTCGTGACAGAAGACTGTCCTTAGGAAAACAGATCATTAAAACTTGATAAGAAAGTAACTGCACTTAAGACTAGTGTAAAGGACCAATATGAGATTTTAGTACACATTTGTGTTGAAAAATGTTTTGTCAAGTTAATTAGTCTAATTAGATAGATTAAAACTTGCACAGATGGGTATATTTCTGTTTGTCACAACTCTTATGTGAAAAACAGCAAACAAAATGGAATGGGAACATATACAGCTTTTTAGTTATGGTTCAGACACGTAAGAAGTGCAATCTAACTGTCACTTTATAATTTTTTATTTTAGGTCAAATGAATGAAAAAAATGAATTAATTCAAAAATTAAATGACTTATTTCAATCATCTCAAGAACAAATGACATTGGATAATTTATTTTTGAAAATTTATGAATTGTTTAATCAACAACACTACCTTGGAAATATGGATGATATTTCTCGAAAATTGAATGAATATGATTATTTATTAACAAATTATGGTCAACAAACATTTGAAACTTTACTAACAAATTTGCGTATAATGATCGATAATCAACAAAAATTCGATTATTTTCTAACAAAATGGAATGAAAAATATAGTATGAATGATGAAAATTTAACAATTGATACATTAGAAACAAATTTATTTACAAAATTTGATATTCAAAATTCAAGTAAGAAAATAAAAATATTGTTGTATGAAATATAAAACGAAAAAAAAAAGATATACTTTTACAATAATCATGCATCGTTCTCTTTTCAGTTATATCACGTTCAAATCAATTTCTTCAATATTGTTCCGAATTATATGATGAATCTGATCTTACATTTGAAAATTTACTTTCAAAATTAAATCAATTTATTTTTCAACAGAAAAAAGTTGATTCTTTACTTTATATATGTAATTGTGATAGTATTGATACATTAGAACAATATTTAATTCAATTAAATCAACAACAACAACATATTATTCAACAATTAAATGATTCACATGAACGACAAACTCGAAATGATGAATTTTTTTATCAATGTCAACAATTACTCGAATGTGATCAATCATTACAACCCGAAGATGTATTAGAAAAAATGAAAGATTTTAAAAAACAAGAACAAAATAAAAATGAATTTATTGAAACATGTAGAAAATTATTTAATCAAGATGAAACATCATATGATACAATTTTACATCAAATTGATAATTTAAAACGATATAATGAGATAAATGAAAAAGAACAAATGACAAATTTGTCTAATGAACATGGATATAAAATGAATGAATTAGATAATAATAGTGATCTAATGAATAATATTCAACAACTTAACAATTTTAAACAAAAGTTTGAAACGATTATCGGTATGATAAGTATTTTCTAAGGAAAAATGTCTCACTAACTTTAAAATAAATCAAATTCTGGCATTCTTGTATATTTCATATGATAGTTCATTTATCATTCTTAAGCTTATGACAATGTTTACTTTTAAATTAATGAAACAAAAATTTTATAGTCTACTGTTTTCTTAACTATTTTATATTAATTTTTTGTTTATTCTAGGTCATGAAGTTGATGATTCTTATTTGGAAATGTTAAAATCAAATCAAGATCAATTATCGTTGTTTGATGCATCGACAATTAACGATTTATGTTTGCGTGTACAACAAGCCGAATATTCTTGTCAACAAATGTTAAATGATAAACAAAAAATGAATGATTACATTCATGAACAATGTCCGCATATACCTGTTGAATCTAAAACTGATTTGTTTCATACAGTTGAACATGTCACTCAATTGTATGTTCAACAATCAGACGATATTAAACAAACGATATCAGGTAAATTGATAAAGTTAAAATCGAAAATAAAACCATAGAATAGAAGTTAAAAATAGAATAAAATATTTTTTCTATAATATAAGATTTTTTTTTTAAGTATTTATTTCATTTCAGACAGTATTGATCAATTAAAATTATTTAATATTACGAATTTGGAAAACACAGTGACTTTAAGACAATTATTTCACATCTGGTCAAAAATTTCGAAAGATTTACAAGAGAAAAATAATTTATTCAATGAACAGTTACAGTTAAATCAAGATGAAAAACAAACAATGTTCAATGCTTATTACAGTCTGTGTAATTACATACAGCATATTAAAGAGAAATTAATCAATATCAGTGATGATACTGTTCATAATGAGCCAACATATGACCAATTTGAATCAACATTTCAATTAAATGAGATTGTAAATAGATTAAAATATGAAAATCAACAACCAAGAGTAGATAACACTAATCAGATATCTACTCAACAGGAAAATCAACAACAACAATTACTGACAACACTTTCATCTGGTAAGTTGAGCATCATAAGACCTATGAATGGTTGCAATTTAGCGATTTCTTACATCTCGTTTGAGTGAATTAAACAGAGGTTTGTACGAGGCGAAAATGTTTAGTCTGATTCGGCTAAAAAAGAAAGTTTTCGACTAACGAGGGAAGGTTCCCATGTGTCCAATCGCTTCTTGCTTGAAATATACATGGTTATGGGGAATTTCCGACGATGAATCACGACTATGATCTTCATTTGAGCCCATATGGACTTTTGGCGTGAATCTCTGGAAAACCGTCGAGTTACCTGTATGAAAAAATTTCTAGACCCAAAGATTGAGTTTTGAACGACTTGAAAAAATTTTACATCTCGATTTACTCAACGTTTCACCTGTTTTCAAAATGAAATTCGTTGAACTCATCCAAAACGCAATCTTTAGGTCTAGAAATTTTTTCATGCAGGTAACTCGACATGCTCTACAACACATAGATCAAAATCTCTTCATCTTGGATGTTAGGATGCCGGTTTTCTAGAGATGCACGCCAAAAGTCCATATGGACTCAGATGAAGATCATATTCGTGATCATCGTCGGAAATTACCTATAACCATTAGGTATGGAGCGAATCGAGCGCTTGTCGCCCGAGCAGAGAAAATACGAGCTCGCTCGTTGGACGAGTGCTCGTACACTATGGAGAAAAACTATAGAAAATTTATTTAAATTAGGAATGACATGTGAGCGCTCGTAACTCGCATGTGATTCCTAAGTCAGCCGCTCGATCGATGAGTGCAATTCGTCTGTTTCGCTCGAACAATGAGCGCGCTCGTTCACCCAGCGTTCGAGTACCCGCTCGATTCGTCTCATACTTAATAACTATGTATATTTCAAGTAAGAAGCGATTGAACACTTGGAGACCTTCCCTCGTTGAAAACTTTCTTAGAAAGTTTCCGACTCTAATTGAGACTTTTTTGAAAATTCGTGCTTCTGCCATGCTTTCACTCGCTGATTGATCTAAATGTATTTCTAACTCTAATATTCACTTTTCCATAATTTTCTTGTTCTTATTTAGGCTCTAGCGATTTTGTTCTTCCATCGGTTCAAAAAGTTGATCTATCAGACAGTTCAGTTCAGACTGATTCGATTAATAATGATGACAGGAATACTGAAGTTATTGATCGTTTATGTCAGTTAAATAGTCAACTTGAAAATGAATATGACTTGACATTAACACATGAAATCAATCAACATCCTTTAGATAGAATTGAATTTCTCATTCGTCAATTACAATCTCAACTCTTCTCTGAAACATCTCGTTGTCAACAATATGTACAAGCAAACGAGCAATGGCAAAAATATTTTGAAAAAAATTATGCTGAAGAATTTCAGAGAAAATTTAGCCATTTATTATCATCATTCGAACAAGAACCGATAGAAGAATATTTAACATTAGATCACTTTTCAAACAAATTATTGAATATAATTGAACACAATGAGACTAAAAATCGTCAGATCGTAAACCAAATTTTCGAAGATGTTATAAAATTTGATAATGAGAATGAAAATTCACTTGAACAACAATTACAAACAATTAAAAAGGAACTGGAGTGTTATAAACAGCAGACAATGCAATCATTGAGTTCAGTTACAGGTGAGTTTAAAAGCCAAATGTTGTAAATTCTTTTAGTGATTTTTTATTGATTTATTTGGACCAATTAAAAACATCCTTACTAGACAATCTTATGGTTTACTGAAAAAATAGATAAAAAGATTCTTTGTCTATTTACTTTTAGCCATTGAAGAACGGCAGCCGTCACTCGTTGAAGAGCGACAGTCGTTCCCCGTTGAAGAACATATTCAAATTGCTCCATTACATACAAAAGAGAATGATGAACAAACTGCCAAATTAGAAAAAGCATTAAACTTATTGAAACTTCAGACAACAAAATTAAAATCAGCTCAAGAAGAAATTGAACAGCTGAAAAGTTATCAACAACAACAACAACAGCAACAATCTGATCCATCTCTCATCGACGAATTAACTATTGTAAATGAGCAAATACTTGAAATGAAATCGAATGCTGAACAACTTCATTCAAAAAATTTACTGTTAATAGAACAAAAACATCAATTAGAACTTCAATTAGATCAAATGGTTGAACAACAATCATCAATGATAAATATGGCCAAATATAATGAAATTTTAATTGAACAATTAAAATTTACTTTAGACGAACAACAAAAGATTAGAGAGAATGTGAGTGAGATAGCAACAATGAAAGAACAGATTGATATTGGTTTACAGACAAGTGTTGAAATAAACCACTATCAAACTCAAACAGAATTAATTACAAAGGAAAGTGATGATAGAATGACGCAAACCGATAATACAGAATTACATAGTAATGAATGTCAAACTGATATGATACATAATAGCGACAAAGAAATACAAACACAATTAGTCAATCAATTATGGACATTGGTAAGAGTATATTTTTCACAATTTAATTTTTACTTGTATAACTTGAACGTATTATGATATTTTAGACTTATGATGAAAATTTGGATAAATCAGTTGATGATGAAGATGAAATCGACGAACTTTTTAATACAAATCAATTAAATGATGAATTATCATCAATGTCATTGGATTCAATTTGTAATTATTTATCATCAGAATCACGTCAAATAATTACACGTTCAAAACTTAATTTTAATGAATTACAAATATTAGATGATCCAAATGAAGTTTTATTTCGTCTATGCTATTTAGCATATCGTTGTTATCAAAATCAATTACAATCATGTGAAGCAAAACATTTATATAATGAAGGATACATAAGAGTATTGAAAGATGAATATCAACTACTCAATTCTGAGAAAAATGATAAGGTTGAACAATTATCATTTATACAAGAACAAAATTATGAATTACAAAAGAAATTAGATAAATTAAAAGATGAGAGAAGTGAACTAAGTGAGTTACCATTTCTACAAAGAAAACTGTGTGTTATAGATAATTTGTAATCGTGAGTAACCTACGGTGCAAAAGTAATTGCCGAAATCTCCAGCCATAGTTCTCCGCTCAGGAACATCGTAGAAAGTCAACTTTTTTTAAATTAAAAAGAGCAATGTCTGCACTATAAATTTGGTATCAGCCATGTTTTTCCCCGATGAATTTGAGAAGGAGGAAAAGCCAAAAACCAAACACCTCTAAAAACGTTCCTGCAACTTGGCCAGCGAGCAACATCATTTTTTATTTCTATTAACTTTTTTAATATCAGAAGAGAATGGAAAAAATACTTTTAATGATGATTTTTGTAGCATAAAGAGTGCTCTTTCCAATGGTGTATTGGAGGTTAAATTTGCTCTTAGTTTTAATACTAAAATATTGCTTTTTTTAGAGAGGGACTGAATAATTTGGTCGTTCTCACTATCTGGCCGTTTTGGAGTGGTAAAAATATTTATTGAATGATTTTTTTTTTGTTAAGTTCTATGGTCTAACATATTTTGAACAAATAACGCAAAAAGAATTGAGTTCATGCATGATTTCTGGATATGAGATGGCTGATATTCTTTCAAACTGATAGTTCTTGAAAAAGAGTCTTTTTCACAATAATTTTATTTTTCAAATCTTTTTGATGAAAGAGTCAAGGATGGATCTAAAAGACTTTAGCAAAGTTGATACCGATAGAATTTTTGATGCACTGCATTTTGGTATATTTTTTATTAAAATTTGGTCCAAGTAGAACAAAATAATTGAGAAATATATACTTTTCAAGTTGCAAAACCGTTTCAAGAACGTTTTTAGAGATGTTTGGTTTTTAGCTTTTCGTCCTTTTCAAATTCGTCCGGGAAAAATATGGCTGGTACTAAATTTGTAGTTCAGACATTGTTCTTTTTAATTTAAAAAAAGTTGACTTTCTACGATGTTCCTGAGCGGTGAACTAGGGCTGGAGATTTCGGTAATTACTTTTACATCACAGGTTATTAGAATAATGATTCTATTTTTTTTAATTTTATTTCTCATTTAGATTTTACACATGATAGTGAAATTGATGAATTAAAATTATCTCATGACAAAATTTTAGATGATATGCAATTGTATCAACAACAACTTCTTGATCAATTAAATTTGAAGTCGGAATTGTGTGAAAAATTATCAACAGAAATAAAAGAAATAAAATATGATTTACATTCAAGATTATCTTATTATGATCAAGAACATGCCCAATATGAGCAACAAAAATTACATATTCAACAATTAAATGATCTTTTAAATGAATATAATTATCCAGAAATGAAACGAAAATATATGGATTTAGAACAAGATTATGTTCAAATAAAAAATGATTGTAATTATTTTAGACAACAGTTTGAACAATTGAAAAATGTTGAAATAGCAGTTTTAGAACAGAAATATTTAGAAATAAAACAAGAATTGGATGCTGTTCAACGAGAAAAAGAGACATTGGAAGAATTGAATTCAGAATTATTTCAATATAAAATGCAATTTCAACAACAATATGATTCGGATATGCAACCAAAATTATCATCTACAAGAGTCACGGCTACATCAGCATTTGAACAAGAAGATAATCAATGTAAGCATCGCCATTAGTGTAATGAAGACAGATGTTGAAAAAGTGTGATTCGACTCGTAAATATTGTACTATAAAGAATCTTTAGCTGTTCAGAAAGAGCGTATGATGACATTCGAGTCTCATGTCTCATAGTCAGAAGTCTCGTGAGTAAAACCTAATTTTTTGAGATTTTTTCTAAATGTTTCAAATGATGCTAAAACTGTCTATAGGCTATAAATTGTTATTTTAACAGTAGTGAACTCGGAATCAACATTTGAAATCAGTCAGTAATCTCAATTCTAATTGGCTGATCAATAAGTTTAAGATTCCAAGATCACGCAATTGGAAGTTTTTCTTCCACATACTCAAGATGTTTAGATGTCAAAAACTACAGTCTTCTACCACTAAAACGTGAATTTGAGAACTAATAAATATTTTTATCAAAAATAAACAATGAAAATTTGAATAAAATAATGTTTCATTTGAGAAAAATAATTTTTATCAAAAATTTTAGTGTGAATGACCAAAAACGTTTTTGAGAGTTACTTAAAAACTGAAAATTTTCTACTGATACATCGTATCACTGAATTTTTCAGGGGAATTAGGAGTATGATATTTTGTTCTTGATAAAATGTCTATTTAGATCAAAATAAGACATTGTAGGCTGAGGACAAGCGCTTTTTGGTTTGAATTCTGCTTTTTAAAAACGTGGACATTTAGGTAGTTTTTGTTCCTAAATCTCATCCATTCCATCAACAAGGATCCGTAGACTATCTACTTTGAGTGGAAAAACAATTTTGTAAAGTCGGCGTGACACCATCCGACGTCGACGAAATGATTTTCATTTTAGTTGACGTTAAAACTAAATATAAATGTCTTTCACGTTGTTTATTGACAACTGCAACAGTGATGAAATTAAATACATTACGTGATTTTTGCTGTTCTTTCTTCTAGTTGGTCATGATGTCACCGATGACAATGGTCTTTTGCTCGTTCAACAAAAACAACGGACATCTCCAATGATTTTAAATAAAGATGGTATAATAACCGATGGCACTGTACCATTTCAAGTAGGCGGAGGAGTTAGTGAACGGCAGACGTCGAATATTGATAATGCAGTTCAGTATGAATTTGAATCACAACCAGCAACTAACCATAGTGAAATATCGTACGACGAGTCATCAGTATTAGCAAAACCAATAATGATTGATCAATCAACTTTAACTGAATATGATTATTCTTCTCAACCATGTAAGTATAAGTCACGTTAGTATTTTCTACAACTGCTCGATAATATTTGAGATAGAATACTATTATTTATTTTCTTAAGGGAATCAGTTAAATAAATATAATAAACTAAAGAGACAAAAATAACTTTGTGTGTTCAAATTTCCATTCTTACAAAACTGATTTTCTATTCTTCAATGGTCTAAGTTGTAGACTTAATTTTCTTGTATTCTGGAAGAATACAGTTTATATCTGAGATGTAAAACATGAAATTCTACTGCTTGAATATTTGCTGATTGTACAAGATGATTCAATCGGTGTTGTATTGTACTAATATTGAAGATATATGAACGGGCATACATGCCGACACGAACGGGTCAACCATTGCTTATGAGCGAACATGAGTAATCAGAATAGTTTACTAGTGAACAAATAGTATCAAAGATAAAAATTAGAGACAAAAAGGTTGTGTGTATCATGTTGGATCTTCTTTTCACTGTCATGTACAGGCATAGAAAATTTTGCCCTTGTATATCTCTAACTAAAATGGTTGCTTTTGTCGTTTTCTCGTTATAGCTGTTGATTCGAACACTGATATAATCACAGACAGCAATATGCAGTCGTTTATCACTCATGTAGAAACAGTTAACAGTGGTGTACAATGTGAATTATTGACTGAATTAAAACCAAACGATGAGTTTGCAATAGCAGAATCCAACAAGAAAGTAGATCAAAACATTGAGGAGTCACGAGAAAGTTTCATGGACGAAGTTCAACCAGGCTGGATGTCACATATTTATGGTTCATATCCTATCGAAGGAGACAAAATTCCAATGATAACTACTGAATCGAAAGAATCCCAGTATGACTTTGAAGTGGAACCGTCCGGTATCGAAACAACAGATCAAGAAATTCAATGTGATTTTACATCTGACGAACCACACGTGCCATTAGAAATGAACGATCAGATAGACCGCATAACGAGTGAAATCGATCTTTCTGCACTTAATATTGATGAAGGAGAATGGTCAAATAATGTCCCGCTGTTAAGCTTATCCATAGACCCGAACGACTATCTTTATGAAGAACAACAATCGTCTCATGGCAATATGCAAGAATCGGTAGAAAAATCAATGTCTGTAGACATCCATTCTTTCAGTATTGACAAAAATGAAACAGATAATGAGATAGACCAATCAGAATCTCTATCAAAATTAATAACTGACTCGAAAGAAATCCAATACAATTTAACTACCACTGAAGAAAAAGAAAAATTCGATAAGCCCCTCTTAGTAGACCAAGCTGTTATGACAGAAGGACCGTATGAAACACATCAAGGTAAATTCAAATTTTTTCCTTTATTTATCAATGAAAATTTTAAAATAAATATCATAAAATTTTAATTTAGCTGTCAATACGAACACAGACTTTGTTCATAGTTATACATCGACCACTCCAATTGAAACAGTTGATAGTGATATTCAATGTGGATTATTGATTGAGCCGGAATATAATCCATTACCAATTGAATCTAGAGGATCTCAATATGATATTATAGAAGAACAGCAACAACCACCACGACACCTTGAAACAAGTGATCGAGATATACAATGTGATTTACTCGTTGATAGTTCAGATATTTTGATACCACAATCATTAATCAACGATCATATGAAACAAGATTATTCTCAAATGTCAAGTTCATTGTACGTTGATGAAAGTTTACGAGCAACTGCAGAAACAGAAAGAAAATCTTGGCCAGAAATACGATCGTTGTCTGAAACAATTTTAATGGATCCATCAAGTCAAACAGAAGTAGATATTTCAACAATAACTGATTCCAATATGCAAATACAGAATGATGATACAGCAGACAGCAGTGTTCCTAAAAATTTGACAAGTCAACCATCTAGTCTCTTTACTGAGAATGTATTACCCATGATTGTTGACGAAGAAACTGTTCCATCATCAATACAATCGCGAACGACAGAGTTTAGTCAGAGTCCACAACTTTCCATTCCACTTCATGTTGTACAATCAACAATAATGACAGATTCACAATCAAGCCAAAATTCTCTCGTTTCATTCGATGATAAAGAGACACAATACGAGATACCATTAGAAGATGATAATGAACCCGCGCATACACTACGTCAACGTTTGAAAAAGAGTACGGCACTTTTACGTACATCATTATCAAAAATAAAAACCTTAGAAATGGATAATCGTCAATTACAAAGTGAAATTGAAAATTTAAGAAATCAATTAGCCGAATATGAACAACCGCAACAATCATCAATTACTACTCAAAAACCAACGCTATCCGAAATTGAAAAAGAACAAGAAATTTTAATAGAGGATGATGGTGGTGATTCATCTGAAAATATTAGAATAATTAATTCAGAACATAAAACAACTCAAACAGAAGTTGTGGAACAAGAACAATCACAAGAAACAACACAAAAATTATTAAAAGCTAAAAAATTGTTAACAACAATTAAACATCGTTTAGAAGAAATAATGACTTTAGCACAATATGTTAAAACCAATAAAGAATATTCCTTGATAGAAATGATTGGAATCATACACGATCATTTTGAACAGCAACAATTTTCGTCAAATTTATCGACACAAATTGTTCAAGGAGAAACAGTTGAAGCTGATCAACAAACAGTTGTTACAGGTAAGATTTGCATCATCTGATATTTTCATCGTCTCATAAACTCAATAACGTTGTAACAATTGCTATATCCAGATCAGGCAAATTGTAAACTAAGTTTAGTAATCGATTTTATTTTTATTTTAAGATATTAGCACACTAACAGATACGGAATACAATAACAATGGTTTAAAAACAGATTCAAGTTTAGAAAAAAATGTTAACACAATTGATAGTAGTATACAATGCGAATTATTAACTAATAATATTTCACTGGTTGAATCTCGTCTTTCATATGTTAATGATCAAGATATTCAATGTGAACTTTTATCCGATAATGTACAACCAGAACAGGAAAGAAAAGTAAATTTTGAAATAGTTGATAACCAGGTACAATGTGAGTTAGAACCAATAATAGTACGTGAAGATAGAGCAACACAACATGATCAAGATGAAAAAATTGATCGTGAAATGATGACTGATGATCAACAATCGATGGTGGAAAAAGTTGATTCTAATGTGCAGTGTTATTTCGAAATAGTACATGAATCGAAAGAAACACAATATGATATAGAAGAGGACAATGACGAAAACAAAAAATCACTTTTATTAGATCAAGCAAACATGACCGAACCAAGACAACCAGATTATTGTAAGTAGAAGAGATTTATAATAGTTCATCCGTATTATATACATATAAATATTATCTATTTTAAATCTTTTTTATTTTTTTATTTAGCTGTGGGCACTAGTACAGATACAGTCAGTAACACTGATAGAGATACATCTACAATTCAAGTTCATCTAGTCGATAACGATGTTCAATGTGATTTATTGACTGAACAAGATACCTATAGTTATATTATTCAACACACTCCTGCAATATTAACAGAATCAAAAGAATCTCAGTATGATCTGGTTGAAGAAGAAGTAGGAGGATCACAAATCGAAACAATTGATCAAAATACTCAATATGAAATACAAGATTTATCATCACTTCCGACAAATGAATATAGGGAACAAGAGCAAGTTCAAAACCTATCAAGTCCGATTGATCTTAATTCTTTCTACATTAACGAAGGAGATTGGGGAAATGATCCAATAATAACAACTAATTCTGAAGAAATTATTTATGAAAAAGACGAAAATTTGAAACAACCATTAATGATAGAAGAAGCTACTATGACCGATTTTATCTCTGATTCGATTTCTGGCCATTGTAAGTATATCATGCATAGTGACAGATAGTTTAATAGTATATATGTACTTTGGCTCATTTCAGCTATCGACACAAATACCGATTTCATCAATAATACTAACGTTGAAACATTTACACTTGCTGTTGAAACAGTTGACAGTAATATTCAATGTCAATTATTAACTGATCCAGAAACAAATGATCAAAATACACAATATGAAGTTGAAACAATCGATACGAAAGCAGTTCAGTGCGAATTAATTGTTGATGAAGTGAAACCATTCAGAATCGATGGTACCAGCATGACAGATCCACAACAAGAGCAACCTGAAGTAGAGATTCGATCATATCATTGTAAGTGAATCAAAGTTTGTCATGAATCTATATATGAGGTGTGGTACAAGTAATTTTTATGTTGTTTACTTCTACAAAAAGACAATATGACTTTCTCTTACTAAAAGTTCTGAATAATATTAGAATTTATTCCATCAAGCTTGAATCGAGAAAGTTTATGTATTTTTTTGCTTGTCGCATAGAAAAATGTGTGAAATTTTTTATTTTAGCAATTGACACAAATACAGATTCGATCACCACCCGTAACGCTAGAACTTCGACAATCCGAGTGAAAAGAATCAATAATAGCGTACAGTGTCAATTATTGGTTGAACACATTAATCCAGAAACAATGGATCAAGTAACAATGTCAGAATCTCCAGATGTTCAAGATCAATCTAGTCAACATAGTTACACAACATCAAGTGAATCTAAAGAAACTCAGTATGATATTATCGACAATAGTAAACAGTTGGAAACAGTTGATCAAGATATACAATGTAATTTATTCGTTGATCATTCCACTTCAAGTCCATTTAGAAATGATCAACAACTTCAACAAACATCAAGTCCTTTAGATCTCTCTTCCTTTAATATTAATGAAGGAGAAGAAAAATCTCTACTGGACATACAATTACTATCCAAAAACATTTTAATTGATACATCGTGTCAAACGGAAATGTTTCTTGACTTGATGGTTGATACGACTACACAAACAGAAAATAACGAAGAGATGAGAAAAGATGATACCAAAACAACACCAATAACCGATAATAGTGTGGGTACAAGTGTAGCAAATCGTCTATTTGGTTTCTTTAGTACTTCACAACCAAAAACAGCAACATCAATCGAAAAAGAAGAGCCATTATTAAAAAGTGTTCCACTTAGTGGTTCATCATCAATTTCCACCGTCTCATCTTTTACTCAAACCGATAATGAACCTCAAGAAAAATTAAAGACGATCAACGCAAAACTAAAACGTGCTTTACAATCAATAAAAGAGAAAATACATAAAATTGTTGAACAACGACCAGATTTATTTAATGATTATGATCATCAAACAACAGATTTCGATACAATGAATTATTTAGATTTTCTAATGAAATATTTACTAGAAAAAAAAGATCATGAATCTGATACAATTCGAATGTATGAAATACAAATTGAAAATTTATTTCAAGAACGAAATATGTTAAATGAACAACATTTAGAAGAAATAAGACAAATTGATGATCAATATAAATCTGATTTAAAACAACTAAATCAACAATTAAATGAAAAAGAAAATGAATTAAGCATGATTAAAGAGGAAGAAATTAGAACAACAGAGCATACTAATGATTTAGAGAGGTATGAATGTACTACATGATGAAAAAAAAGTCTGATTTGTCTCTTCTAGAATCAATCAAAAATTTATATATAAATGTGAAACTCGACTTGAATAATTATATTTAGTTAACTTTACAACCGCTTTGTAGTTATTAGAGACTCAGACAGAATTCATTTCTGAAAGAATCAAAAGAAGATACTACGACCATATTAAAAATCGGAGAATTGTGACTAATACTGTTTTTATCCACTGTGGCCAAGCATGACTAGTTAGAGGATGGGTGACCACTTCTGAAGATCAAACCATGCATATATTATGGAGTTAGTCACTATAAAGTAGAGAATTGTGACGTAATATCTTTCTCTATTGTGTCAAAACTACGATTAGTAAGAAGATGAGTGACCACTTGTCAAGATCGAACCATAAGTATGGTGCTTTTCACATTTATCTCAACGGTTGTTGAGTGAACGTTACTAGACACAGTTTTAGTTTAAAAGGATGAATCATTTCTAATAGAATGAAAAGAAATACTTAATGTAGAGAAGCAGAACATGTGCATTGTACAGCGATATCATACTTCGCTCTCGTCGCGTGAAAGTTATCGTTCTTTGTTCGATAAGAACAAGGAATAGTAACACCCTCATACGGTGTGAACGGAGTTGTGTTGCTTGTCGTGCCTTAACTCTGTCTTTCTCTAAATACAATCAAAAATTTGTATTTCATTACAACTAATAGATTTGATTCCCATAATTATTAAAGTTCTACTATTTTGTTTAGCCAAGTAAATCAGTATCATGAACAACTTGAAAATGAATATCAAATGAAAATGGAACAATTGTTAATATTGAAAAATCAACAGCAACAATCACAAATGAATATTGAAACACAAACAATTGGTTTATCAATGACTGAATATGAAGAAACAATTCATCGTAAACAATTGGAACAATTAGAAAATCAATTATCAAAAACAAACGAAGAAAAAGAAATATTACGTCAACGTCTATCTGAAGTAGAATATAATTTGAATCAAAATCAACTTATATTAGAACAACAACAAAATACAAATGAACAATTACGGTTTGTAGATAGATCATCGAATCTGCTTCTATGCTAAATTTTTTTTTTGTTGTTGTTGAAATTACCACTAATTTTCATTCTTTTCTAGAGAATCTGAAAATACTTTAAAAATGTATGAATTACAGATAGAAACGTTAATTAGTGAACGTGATACTCTTGTTGAACAACATCATGAACAGTTACAACAATTAGACGAAGAATATCAACAAAAATCAGAACAACAACAGAAAACTGTATCAAATGTAGAAACTCAAACACTAAAAGAAAAGTAAATTTTGAATATCATTTAGAGTTCTTAATTTCTCACTTAATACTAGATAATATATGAGGAATTATTTATTTTTAGTTTATATCCATTACCGACACCAACTGATCGTATATCTCGTCGTATATTTGAACAAGAATTAAGTGCATGGACTTCAGAAACTGAACGTTTAACTTTAGTTTTACAACAAATTCAAAATGAAAATAAAAAATTAAAAGAATTAACATCAAAATTAGAAACAATGGCTTATGAATATTCGCATGAAAATGAACAGTTAAAACTTGAAAATGAAAAATTATTACTATCGTCTAATTCGAATTTATCGCCTTCATCAATCAATTTGTCAACTCATCAAAATGATCGAGATATTTGTCTATTAACATTAAAACTATTAACATGTGAAGTAGCACTACAAACTACACCATTTGAAAATTTAGAAGAATTATCTAAAAAGTTATTGACATCAACTTCATCCGATTCACTCTATCAAGAACTTGTTCATGAAATTGATTTATTAAAAAAGTCATTTTTACAAGGTGATGGATATTCAAATAATTCAGTAGTAGCAATAACAAATAATCAAGATGAAATGCAACGTTTACAATTACAATTAAATGAAACAACAGATAGACTAAAAGAAACAGAAAAACAGGTAAATTTTAAATAGATTTTTGTACATATTCATAGAAAATATTAAAATATTTTAGTTGAAAACTATTCGTTCACAAAATGTTCGTTTAAAAAAACAACTTGAAAATTATACATTCCAATTCAAGCACGTTCAACATGAAATGAATGATAAAATTCAAGAAATGTTAATATTGAAAAAAGAAACGGACAGGTATAAAATTAAATCTTATAGACGAATTTCTACAATATTAAATGAAAAATAATGTTTGTATGAAATGAAAATGTTAATTTTAGACTTCGTACAATTGAATTACAATATCGTACCGAACTTAATCATATAAAAGCGGACTTTCTAAGTGAACAATTAGTATGTAAACAGTTACAACGAGAATTAGCCGATTTTAAATCAGCTCTGCCGCTTACTAATGAATCCCTTAACGTAAGTAATAGATTTTTTAATTATTTAAGGATATCCCTCTCCTCTTTTTGGGCTTACCGTAGAAATGCTGTGAAATAAAAACTAAAATTCACTAAGGCTTCATATTTTCACAACTGATTGAAAACTCAATGAAGCACATTTTCGTTTTTGTTTCAAGTTTCTAACTATTGCCTTCACCAGTTTTCCAGAAAACTCGGTTTTTCATTGTACCACATTACAAACCCCTTAAATTTCATCCGATCGAGTTAAAAATTTTACCAGAGGTACTCAAGGCCATAGCACAGAGGTATAATTTTGGAATTTTCTTTTAAACCTTTCTTTACCGAATTATAGGAAAAATACTGAGAAACTTTCAAAAACCAAGTTTTTCAATTTTAGAAATTCTATAATTCAGTAAAGAAAAGTCTGAACTAAAATTCCAAAAGAATACCTCTGTAATAGTGTCTTAAGTACCTCTGGTAAAATTCTTAACTCGATCGGATGAAATTTAAGGCGGATCGTAATGTGGTACAATGAAGCACGGTAGCAAAAAAATAGTTTTCGAGAAAAAACGCATTTTGCATACAGGCCACTTTTTTCAGAACATTTTCCGTGGCGCGAAAACTCATCGAAAAATTGTGTAAAACGTCTCATTGTGAAAAAAACACTTTCTTCTATCAGAGTATGTGTAAGAAAAATTTTGAATGTACAATAAATGAGAGAAAAGTTTATGAAACTAAAAAATTGAGTTTTTTTAGGCTTTGAAGGAAAAACTTCAAAAATGCATAACTTTTTGGGAAAAGGTCGTGGAGTACTGGGAGTGGGCTCATTTTGTGACCCTTCCTCTACATTAGGCTATGCTCAGCTCAAAATCCAAAATTTTTATAAAAAAGAGGAGGGTATCCTTAATTAAAATATGAAACTTCAATATGTTTTTAGATTTCTAATTACGTCTCTTTTTCTCTATTTAGAATCTTCGTGATATAGTCGAATTAAAAGAACGTGAATTACAAGCATTAAAAGATAAATTGGAACATACATCAAGTACTCATCAAATGGAAATTAATGAATTACATAAAACAAATCAGGTAAAAATATGAATGTAAATTATTTCTATTAACAAACAAACAAACAAATTGAAAATTTTCACTCTCTCTCTCTCTTTCTAATTACACACATTCATACGGATATGCTTGCTGTGACTGCTTATTGACCATGATACACACAAACACATACATCATTGTTTGTTGCTTTTGCTTCACCTCTTCTTATTTCAGAGCATCGACGATCTTCTTTAACACATACATACATCTACATACACTCATTCATACATTGAACAATAATCATGACATTCTTTTTCTTTTTCATGTTTTATTTTTTACTTTTATTTTTTTTTTTGTTGCAGCTTCTATAATACTACAGTATGTTTTTCTCTTTTACTTCTTCTATCTAATTAATTACAATTTATGAGCAGATTTAGTCACTGCTCTCGTTCTTACGTAATGTATTATTATTAGTTTAGAAAGAGAAGAATGAATTAAATGTTTTACCGGTGATAGATTAACTTAGCTCATTCCTAGTGTGTATATCTAATTTTTTACTATCTATGTGTGTGTCTGTGTGTGTGTGTGTGTGTGTATGTGTGTGTATGTCTATGTGTTTTATTTTAACTTTTGTTTTCGTTAAATTTATGTCAAATAAAGAACATACAATTTAGATATTTATCAACGCATGTTCATATCCCTATGGCTATATTTTGCATTGATCTTGTTATTAACTTGCTTCTACCCTTATTTCCTCTTGCAGAATTGAATATTACAAAAATAATGTATAGTGCATTACTAACCTATTTTTAAAAAATATAAAAAACATCTTTTAAAAGAAGGATGAGATTTTTCCATTTATTAATCTGGTACATGCACATGTTCTATCTTAATTGAGAAAGGATGCTTTCTCTATTCGAACTAAGAGCTCAACCTCATGATCCACAGTAGTGTATCGTATTTGCTAGCAGAGATCAATCTAAGTGTAATATGTATTATTCTCTTGTTTATTTATTTGTTTGCCTATTCATGTTGCTTATCTGTATGCATAATATTAGGGTCAAAAATATCAAAGGAAAAAATTTGAAAACATAATTCTTTTCTTTCACATATTTTAGTTTGCATTGGATAATATTAAACGATTTGAACAATTAGATGTCCGTCATATACAAAAACGAACTGACTTAGAAAAACGTTTAACAAAATTTAGTCGTTTAGTTAGACCATTATTATCATTTTATGAGGTCACTAATCATTATTAAATATCAGTGAATATAATATATTTTCTTAATTTATGATTATTTTAGACTCATTCATCCAATGAAATTTCAGTTGATGAACTACGCACACTAATAACTGATACAGAAGCAGAAGAACGCATTGTACAGTAAGTAGAAGTACACACATTTGAAAACATTAATTTTAAATTAATTTATTTATTTTATCTTTTTGTTTAGATCATTGGGTCCAATTCGTGATTGTCTTGGCTTATTAGAAGCTCAAATGAAAGATTTACATCATGGTCTGATTGAAAATCATGCAAGAAAATCAAAAAGTTGGAAATATAAACTTGGTTTTGAATGTGTATCATGTGAAAGTCGATGGTAAGTAGTTAAAGTCTATTTAACTAAGATATTTATGTAAATGTTTGTGTGTTTCTAGGGAAGTCACACATGATATTCGAGATTTGGAAGAGGCGTGTAGTGATCCCGAGAGATTTTTAGAAACAAGTCGTGTTGAACCCATGCACGTATGTACATGTCCAACAACAGATTTCGATGTTGAAAAAATATTAGAACGTGATGTTCGTTATTGTTTAAAACACGTAATTGATCGTGTAATTAATGATGATGGTGATAAACAGTGAATTATGTTATGTTGTTATCTCTCAAATATATATTCTCTTTTGTTATTGTTGTTAGAAAAGTAATTTATTATTTGTTATAAGATAAAATATTTTTTTTGTTTACTGCTTGTTAAATTGAATATATATTTATTTTATTATTAGAAAATCTGTTTCCATGCTCTAGGTACCGCAGTAACACTAAAAATATCATAACTCTTCAAATTTAGCAAATTAAGGGCGGAAAATTTTTGCTGTGATTCTGCTGATAGTCCACTAATATCTTCAAGTTTCATCTTTCTAACTTTCCTAGGCGAAAAGTTATGGATTTTTCCTTTTTTTAAGGAAAATCATGTTTTCCAGAAGTTTTTTTCCACATAGTCACATTTTCTGTGAACTATCGAGAAATAAGATAGAATGAAGCCTCGAAGGAGGGTTGGTCGGTCTCTCTGACGAGCGTCAGTGGGGAGACCGTGGATTCCTTCCGCCACATAAAGACCTCTCCTACTACGGTAAGTTATTTTATTTTTAATGTTTTTTGTTTTTTCAGCGCATTGTGCAGTATTGAGAACGCAGAACAGTTTTAACATTTTGATAAGTGAATCAAGCTTGAATAAAGTAATTCTAAAATAAATGTTTGTTGAACTAATAATAACCATAACGATAACAAAATGGAATAATAAAATTTACGTAGAGTCAGATGGAGTAATTCCGGCCACTTGCACAAAGTTTCTTAGTATTTTGCGTATTTCTAAGGCGTTTTTAATCGGATAAGCGTGCTATTGAATATGAAGATGGAACTAACAGTTCTCTATCCG